TCGTTAAGCGTCTGCCTTCGGCTCAGGTCATGATCCCGGGGTCCTGGGATCGAGTCCCACATCAGGCTCCCTGCTCAGCAGGAAGCCTGCCTCTCCCTCTCCCACTCCCCCTGCTTGTGTTCCTGCTCTCGCTATCTCTCTCTCTGTCAAATAAATAAATAAAATCTTAAAAAAAAAAAAAAGTCATTCCATTTCTCTCAACATCCATAACGTGAATACATGCGTGGATCGTCGTGAAGAAGAGGTACGTTAGACAAAGCCCTCAGCAAAGTGTCAGGTGTGAAGGGCACCAAAAGCGTGTTTGCTTTCTGAAGGCCCCGCTCTGTTCTGCCCTCACTTCAGGCGAATAACTTGCATCTGGGTAACTTTCCGCTTCGTTTTATCTTTGACTCTAACTAAATACACCTAATTATCAAGTTTAGAGATCGGAAAGAATGTATTTTGCTCCGAGTATCTGAAACAAATTATAGTCTCGAGCTCAGTGGCGGGTTCCTAGGGGGAGCTGCTCTGAAGAGGGCCGCTGAGAGTGGTTTATTTAGAACGCCTCCGACAAAGCACCTTGGAGAGGCAATTAGCCTGCGCCTGGAATCTGGTGAGAGGAAGAAAACGATTTCTTTGGCAGGCAGGATGGATGTTCTTTTTTATATGTGCCCCATCATATATATATTTTTTCCATTTTACTGAAAAGGAAGTCTTTAGAGGCAGTGTTTTTTTTAAAGAACCTTCTATTTTGAAGTCTCTTCAGTGAGCAGAAATGTACCTATAATTGGCTCTGCTGCTTCCATTTCCCACTTAATATGAAGTCTCCAGCTTAACAGCCTCTCCCTGCTTATACTTTGTTCTTTTAGAGGATACTTTGGATTGCCCACACTTTTTGGGGGTACCAAATGGGTAGTTGAATGATGGATACAGCTTGTGGCATCTTTGTTAGTGTAAGCCATGGAAAAGTAGTCTGGCTACTGAAAAGAAAACCCCCCCCCCACCCCCCCGCCCTACCAACTTTTCATTTGTTTGAATGATATGGTTGTATTCAGTTAAACATCCAAGCTAAAAGATCTTAGAGATACAGTCTTTCAGCCACTGTCAGAAACTCAAGCTGATGACTGTTGGGGGACTAATCATGAAGGTGTCTGAATTATAGGCCAGAACTTCTGTTCCTTCAACTGTGGGCCTTTAGAGCATTGCTATGCCCTTTGTGAGTCCAGCCAAGGGCCTAAAGAAAAGAGAAACTCAGTGTCATTGGCTGCTGTGGTTCTGCATCAGCATAGGCAGTGGATTGTTGGAAGAGGCTAAGGTGAATTTGGGGATTAAAATGCATTTCACTTTCCCTTCTACTTATTCCAATGGATTCAACTGACTTTTTGAATTATGGAGCTTTGGGGCATCTGGGTGGCTCAGTCGGTTGAGCGTCTGCCTTCAGCTCGGGTCATGATCCTGGGGTCCTGGGATCGAGCCCCTCATCGGGCTCCCTGCTCAGCGGAAAGCCTGCTTCTCCCTCTCCCTCTGCCTGCCACTCCCCCTGCTTATGCTCTCTCTCTCACTCTAAGAAATAAATCAAATCTATAAAAAAATTTTTAAATTATGGAGCTTTATTAATACATTTCTGATTGGATTTGTGAATTGCATTCACACATGCAAAGATTGGTGGTGGGCACATTTCACAATTCATGAATTTCATGAATAGGGATTTGTCAGGCTTATCTGGGAAGCTGCAACTGCCCAGCAGCATGAGGTGGGCTGTCATAGGTTGAATTGTGTCCTTTTCCCCAACCACCGGCAAACAAACAAACAAAACAAAACAAAACAAAATAAAAAGATATGTTGGAATCCTAACCTCTAGTGCCCCAAAGGTGATTTTATTTGGAAATTGGGTCATTGCAGATATAATTAGTTTAGTTAAGATGAGGTCATTGGTGCTGGTCCTAATTCAATATACTGGTATCCTTGGGATAGTAAGAGAAAATTAGAACAAAGAGACAAAGAGAGAGGGAAGAAGATGCAGAGAGACGGAACAGAATGCTATCAACCACCCAAGGAGAGGCCTGGAATGGATCTATCCTTCAGAGCCATCAGAAGGAACCAGCCCTGCTGACACCCAGACTTCTAGGCTCCAGAATTGTTTGTGAAATAATAAATTTCTGTTGCATAAGTCACTCAGTTTCTGGTATTTTTTTAAAATACCAAACTAATATAGAGGCTTACACTTTAAAATTGGCATTTCTTACTTTAGACATCATATTGTTTCATTGATATTAACTTGGTCACTCTAGATATTACAAGAACAATTTCACTTGAAAAATTAATTTGAAGATACCATTGTTCTTATAGCTAATTTTCAGTGCAGTTTCTAAAAAGAATAATTATGTGCATCCTCTGTATCTGTCGTAATAACACACTATATTATAGTAACCTATTTAAGCATCTTCCCAACATAGCTCTTTGCTTCTCATCAGCAGGGACCAAACAGATTCCTCCTTCAGATTTCCTCCGGCTTCTTGCCTGGGACAGTAGTTATGTCAAATTTAATTTTGAATTTTTGAACACCCTCTGAGACACACCTATACAAATTTACCCACTGCTCTTGCCACTTCGTACCCCAAAATACCTACCATGCCTTGACACATTACCCACGAGATTTCTGATTCTTCATCAGTCTTCCAGTTTAGAATTTCTATTTCCATCTTCATTCCCAAATTCTAAGTTTTATCTATTTTTGTCCTTCTCCTCTGGTTACTACCTTGCTTCCTGGCCTTACCTTTTTTGCTTCACATGGTTTCTTCCCTCTCCCCAGGTTCATTGACCTTGGCCTCAGGGATCCTCTACTCTTTACTAGACGCCATTTAAATAATCTGGTGGAGGCTAAAGTTCTGTGAGTCCGAAGCTGTAATAGGGATTTGTCAGGCCTTAAACAAGGGATAAGAACATCCAATGAGACCTACGAGAGATGGCTGAAGTTCTAGGAACTGTTGCCCACACAGCCTGCTCTCCAAGCCTCGGGAGCATGGACTCTTAACTCCGAGGGGCAGTGAGCTGGTCTAATTCATGTTCTCATTCTTGATAAATAAATACCTGAATAAAGGACTGGAAGAATTTCAAGTAGATATCTATGAAGCAACATGAAGAAATGTAAAAGCAGCTATATTCATGTCACTTTCCTTTCTCACGGGCTTCAAGACACATGGAGGGGTTGGAGAGGCCAGGAGAATGAGGAAGAAGAAGCTAGAGACAGAGGCAGAAGGTAGCCAGAGGGAGGCACCAGCTTCCCGGGTTTTGAACTAGGCTAATGCCCCAGGACCATCCCCTCCCGCGCACCCCCCCCCCCCCCACGGAGGCCATGTGGTGCAGTGGCTAGGAGTATATGTCCTGTGGCGGCACACGTAAGGCTTGACACCGTAGCTGCTTAGTAGTTGTAGAACCTTGGGGAAAGTACCAAATCTCGTTGAAAGATCCAGCTTAATAATCCAAAGTATGGTGAAAAGATATTATTGACCTCATAGACTACAAAGAGGATTAAATAAGAATGTAAAACATAAAATCTAGTGCCTAATACATACTAGAAACTCAAGAAGTATTAGTCGTTCATATGAACTCCTTCTTAGTGGATTAGTGATTCTTCCTTTATAATTCAGGTTTTAGGCTCAAAGTACCAGGTATACCGCTCTCCTATACCAAGAAAATAAGCATACAAAAAATGATTTAGTAACTCAACAATTTTTTTTAGGCATTTTCTAACTCTATGCCCAAACTGAGAATGCTGAGTAAAACAGTCTAGCAGATAATAATGGATTTATGACAGAAGTCACAAAGGATTAAGGCCTCTGTGACTCACTCATTTACTTACTCATTCCTGCTTAATTTGCACACTGAAGGCTAATTTAATGAGCCCTAATCCATCCATACATTTATCTAGAAAATCAGAGAGGCAAGTCTTTGAGACATCAAAATGTTTGTGGCACTGACAACACGTACCACATACAGTTTATTTCTAAAACAGCTCATCAGTTGTAAATTGTACATTTAAGAATTAATTTATTAAATCCACAGTGTTACACAGCCAAACAAATATTGACATGATGCATCATCACAATATGCTCTCAATAACAGTTTTTACATTGCTAACGAGTTTTGCCAGAAAATCAAGAGATTTATGCCAAAAACTGGCTCTCTGCATTCGTCTGCCAACCTTGGCCGCTGTTTTGCATCCAAAGACAAAATTACCACAACACCCTCTGTATAGCAAAGCAGATTATAGAGCCATAAACCTACTTCTCGAATGTTCACAATTCTTTGTTGTGTGTGTGTGTGTGTATATATATATATATATATATATATACTGAAAAAGAGTCTAAGTGCGTCTATACAGATTATTGAATGTTAAATTTTTCAAGCCAAGTGAGATCACAGAAATGTTCAAAAGCAACCTGTGAAGTACCCTTTTTCATCTTGGAGAAATATTTCAATATAGTTCTAGGAAAATGATAGCAAACATGTAATGATTTGGGGGGTAGACTTCATAATCATATAGCCCTAGGAGCCAATTTCCTTCTAACTTTGGACACATTAACCTAAATCTTGGCTTTCTTAACAGTAAAGAAAAAAAAAAATTAACATCAGCATTTTGTACAGAGATTAAGGATGAGATTATGATGGTGAAGTGCCTAGCACTGTGCCCAGCACATTAAAAAAGGGCTTGATAAACATCTTTATTTCCATGTAATTACATCTTCAGATTTTGCTGTTTCTGAAATGTGTAAATTTTGGGGATCCAAAGAAAAGGAAATGAGTCTTGATTATATTTCATCTCCAGCATTTAGCAATTCCCTTGATACAGCTAATAATTAATATATATTTGTTAAAAATGGGAGAATGCTTTTCACTTTTAGAAGAGCGATTAATTCATTTCTGAGTCAAGAGTAAATTCTCTACTACAAGAAATGGTGAGGAATATATTCATTAACCAAATATTCTAGCAAAAGAATTTATTAGGCATGAGCCACAAATTGTTGCGATTTTCAAAGTTTTTATTCTCTTCTGTAGTCTTTTGATCATAAAGTATTTACTATCTATTATGGGCAAGGTAATTCGGAAATCCTGTTTCAATCACAATCTTACACTTTTATAAAACTTATACTTTAAATCAGAGACAAATATAACTCTGTATTTAACAATTGCTACAATGGGGGAATGTCCAAAATGCAATGGTTGCTTGGAGAGTTAAACAACCTAGCTCTGCTCGGGAGGAGTGAGGAAAGGCTCCCCAGCTTTTAAACTTGAAGAATCAATCCTGGATTTTTCAGGAGGACCACTGGAGAAAGTAGAGGCATGGAGGTGTGAGACCATGGCACAATGGAGATAATAAATATCTGTAGTTCAGTGTAGCTGCAGTGCAAATCAGTCGTGGTACCAGATGACTCTGAACGAAGAGCAGTTCATGAAGGTTCTCACATGTCATATATAGATTTTTATTCAGCAGGATTTTGACTAGTGGAACTACACAATCGTATTTCCATGCCAAAAACCTCATTACAACAACAGCGTGAAAGAGGGAACCGAGACTACAAGCTTTTCTAATAGCATTTATGAGAGGATGAGGGCTTTAATTACAGATCTTGGACATATTTTGTAAATGGAATAGAATCTTGTGATGGGTTTGCTATGGCAAAAGAAAAGGAAAAAAAAATCTAATGAGTCCCAAATACCTGGCTTAGGCAATTTGGAGGCTGTAGCTAATAGATTGGATAGGCTAAACCTTTTGAGAATGTTTATTTCAAATAGAATGGTTTAACTACACAGCCTGATTTAAATAATGATCTATCTCTAGTATTATCAGAGGGTAGTTCCAGAATTTCTGTATTGGAGGGCCTTATGGGCAACAATCTGGTCAGAAGAGCAGGGTACCAATCTTGTAGCTGCATCTGCAAGATACATAAAATGATAGGAACATAAATTGTCTGATGAAGCTGATGAATATGGCACCACAGTCCTGCTCTCACTGTGCCAGCCTATGGTGTAGCACCAGATTCATAATTATCTTTGACTGACTTTTACTGAATGTCCTATAATTTTACCACATTTACACCATCAAATTTACCCCACGTATTGAAGTGTAATGCCATTCATGATTATTACACACACATTAAGTACTCTGAAATAAGAATTGAAGTCCTAGACATTTTCTATTTTTAAATTTATAATTCAATACAGATACAGATTTGGTATATTGTGGAGAAAAAAAGATACTAAAAATTCTCCTTGTATGATGTGAAGAGTTCCAAAGTCATAAAAGGGGTCAAATCCAAATCTCAACCTACTTAAGCCTTTCTTCTTCTGTAAAATGGGGATAATTTGGAATTGTGAAGAATGAGGAAGTATATCAAAATCTTTGACACATAGATGTTCAATACATTTCTTTTGGGTGAATTACCTATGTAAATCATATATACATGTGTATGTACATATAGAACCACAAACTACATAAGTAATATATATTCATATGTATATAGACACACACACACATCTATATATATATGTATACATGTAATTTACCTATGTAACCTGCTGCTTTATAAACAGCCTTGGGAACACTGAACAGTCAATTCAGAACTGCTCCATTAAAGTGTATTAATGCTTCCAAGTTCAAAAATATTTCAATGCCTTGGGTAGAAGACATGGTAAATATTTTTAATATCTTAATTTGGGGAGAGGAGGCCTTAAAGGGGATTGAATTTTCTTCCCATTAACTTTCCTTTCGAATAATTTTAAGAAATAAAATATCCACAAAAACTATTATATAAACACTTTAAAATGAGGTTTTACTACCAGTGAGAGAGACTGTTAGCTAGTGTCTCTGAACTTAGTCAGCTACTAGAGAACCAAGAAGTGGATGTACACTTTCCAAGATTCTAGAACATATCCTAGTCACTTCTACCCCTTGGACTTAATTTTGCTCATCTACAAAGTGAAAAGGTTGGCCTTATCATTTTCAAACCCAGCTGCACAACAAGTATCACCAGGAGGTGATACCAGATTCTTCTATGATATACCAGATTTAAGGATTCAAAACTTTAGGGGTGATTTCTAGATATCCGTATTTTTAATTCTCTAGGTGGCTCTGATAATCACTTAGGTTTGGAACATATCAGCCTACACAATTACTGTAATTGCTCTCTTTTTTGTTCCTGAAAAAGGACTGGCATTTGGAAGTATATATTCATTTCTATGACTTATGGTGATTAATCATCTTTGCCCCACCCCCCCACCTTTTTTTGCAACATTTGTTATACACTGGCTCAACAGGTGTGCTGATTAGGAGCTTTAATAATGAAGTAAGAGTAGACAATACAGTTTACAGTATGACAAAATGTATTTCCCTAAGATATTAATTATGTACCAATAGTGTATTTAAACAAAATACGATACTTCAAAACATTCTGCACAAAGAACTTACAGATCACATTTATTTAATAACAAATATCCAGTTCTTTAGGAAATGTTTTTAATTTAAGGACTTACTATAACAAAACTTTCAAAACCAAAGAACAAAAATATTAAATTACTTTATGGCACAGGACATCATAACTTATGTAACACAGCAGGCAGATTGCATTGTACAAACAGGATGGAGGGAAATCTAACCTAAATTTAAAAATTCAGAGAATGGGTATTCATAAATTTCTGGTTAACTGAGGCTTAATGATGTTAAGAACCTGGGGTGTTTGAGCATCAGTTTTGTTTAGAAAAATAAAAACTCCCCAAATATTAGAAGCATACTTTTCAACATTTACAATTCAGAATCTTACTGTTCATTTGTCAAATATATGACAATATCTGGTTAATTTCTTAAATTTAACTACCAATGTCACCCTTGAGATGCTGACCCGGTTGCATCTCCTTATACATTTTTTTCCCAATGAACCTAACACCTATGACAGGGAAGATAATTGACACACGCTTAGATAAAAACTGGTCTTAGAGATAATTTATTCATGAATAATTCAGCAAGCACTTACTGAAAGCCTACTACATTTCCAGGTCTAAAAAGAGCAAGACAAACACAAAGCCTGCCTCCAGGGAGCTCACCATCCAGTATATAGCAGCAGGCCAAGCACTGGTTCTGCATCACTATGAGCCTTCCTTTCATCTTTCAAGATTTGCATAGATACTGATTTCCTCTGTAAGGGCAAATAAAATCTTCTCTTATGCATATCATTCTTTAGATTATCATAAGGGGAATTCTGAAGTCTGTGTGTTGACAAAGCCTACACTCTGCTTTCTCTAATTGCCTTCTGCTCCTTCTGACAATGTCAGATATTTTCTTTTCCCCTTCGTTCTCCACAACACACACTGCACTTTTGCCAATCCAGTTGGCTTTTTCTGTGATGCTTTGCTACAGCTTTCTGTTCCCCTTCACTGTGTCTTTTGTTTCTTTCCTCCTTACTAGAAAACTGGTCATTGGGGTTTCCCCAGGATCCCTTTCCTGACTTCTTACTCACTTGAGTGACTAAACTTAACACCTCCTTAAATGTTGGGTCTTTAGTAAGTATAATAATCAGCATTTCCAATTAGCATTTCCTAGAGCTCTGTTATGAATTCCAGATCTTTCCAATACTCTCTTCCTGAATGCTATTTAGAAATATTACCCTCACAATAAGACAAGAATTTCTTGAGGATTCCTGTTGTAAAGGTTGTATTCGGAGACTGACAAAGGATACGTAACTTAGCAAAGAACGCTTCTAACTTTATTCTCAATTCTTACCAAGTAGTGGATTCTGCAAGATCATAGTTAAAACTCTTTGGTGTGAGGTATCAATTTTACACAAAAGGGCTAGATCAAAAAATTCAATTTTGGAGTCTCTGATATAGTTTGAAACTTAAGAAAACCTAAATGATAAAAAGTTAAAGATAGTTACGTATTCATTGATATGTCTATATCCTTTATCATGAACAATATACAATTGAGAATTCAACTATTTTTAAGTGTGTAAGTCAGATGCTATCAAGCAAACTGCCATGTATGACCCATAGTCCTTTTAAATGTTTAACTCAGACAAATAGGAAGATTCAGTAAACTTTAATTTTCCAAATGTTCTCAGAAAGAGCTATCAGAAGCATCCACCACTTACAAAACACAGCTGGATAATCCACTGAGCCCGAATGAACTACCTGTGTGTTGTGAGGTAGCAATGACAGGCTATGATCTTCTGTGGAGATGATACCCTCTATGCATAAGCAGTCCCTCTTCACAGGAAGAGTGTGAATAACAAGAAGGCACAGAGTCACCCTTCATTATTTCATCAACTACTGGTGTTTTCATAGTGTTTTAAATGGCTGATTTCAGTTTTACAACAATACCAATATTTATTTGGAAAGGTCATCTTATGTTCCAGGTAGCAGATATTACCAACTTCCAACACGATCTCTAGGAATAATTCGCAGTTCTGAACCATGCTTTAGGAAAACATTTCCTACACAAACAAACAAAACATAAAGTTAGGTATTTAAAAAATGACAAGTTATCTTAACATTCCAACAACGATCATAATACAAGATACAAAGAAGTGTAAAGTAAGTAGGTACAGAAGCTCAGATATTTTCAGAATCTAACTCCAAGCTTTTTAAGGCTTGTTCCCATTCCTCTCATATCTTCACAACCCAACCAAATGTCTGAAAATTTTAAATAAGAACACTAGCCACAAAAGTGCTAATGCATACACTCAGCAAACAACAATGTAATTTAACCATCAATACTTGCTAATTTAATACACAATAAAATATCTGAGGACAGAAAGAATAGTAAATCTTTTTTTTTAAGATTTTATTTATTTATTTTGACAGAGAAAAAGAGAGCGAGAGAAGGAACACAAGCAGGGGGAATGACAGAGGGAGAAGCAGACTCTCCACTGAGCAGAGCCCAATATGGGACTCGATCCCAGGACCCTGGGATCATGACCTGAGCCGAAGGCAGACGCTTAACAACTGAGCCACCCAGGCGCCCCAAGAATAGTAAATCTAAATTACCACAAATGACAGAGGTTTAGAAACCTGATCTGACCTATTTTTGCTCAACTGCTTGCTGAAATTTTCTTCACGCCCCATGATATGCAGATTTCAACTTTTAAGGGTAATACAACAGGCAGCATGTTACAATAAGCGGTAACTCAAATTAGTATGAACTACTGAACATTTCTACAGCAAGAAGAAATAAAACCTTTAAACTGAAGTTTAAAGACATCTCCACAATAAAATTCCTCATGATTCTCAATAATCTTTTTAATTTAATAACATTATATACTTAAAACTATTGATTTAAGTAAAAAAAAAAAAAATTACAATTTTAGGGCACCTGGGTGGCTCAGTTGGTTAAGCGACTGCCTTCAGCTCAGGTCATGATCCTAGAGTCCCAGGACTGAGTCCCTCAACAGGCTCCCTGCTCGGCAGGGAGTTTGCTTCTCCCTCTGACCCTCCCCCCTCTCATGCTCGCTCTCTCTCTCTCTCAAATAAAATCTTAAAAAAAAAATTACAATTTTAAATCCCTCTTCATTTTCTATACGGTTAAATTTCAATTCCAAGGCCTTATGAGGACAATATAATTTTTTTATAATACAGAAGTACTTTAGAATGATTTAAACATAACTACTGCTCAAATAGAGATCACATTATATTAACACATGCTTAATTTTAAAACACTGTATTTAGATTATAGCCAAAAAAAGGTACATCTAAAAAATATAAAACTACCTATTAAAAAGTTTAAGATCACTTTTACTTTGCCTGCTTGTTAGGACATCAATATACAGCACTGTATAATACCAAGTCTGAAGCTCTGAGTGTGGACTAAGTCCCCTGAAAGACTGTACTTTTTAAAAATAACAGTTAACAGCACTTCCTGAATGCTTACTACGGATAATGCAGACTTGTAAGCACTTCCCATGGACTACCTCACCACTATCATATAAAGGTAGGTCCAAATCATTCCCGAAAGAGTACGATCTTACCGTCACTTTTGGTTCCATGTATTAAAAAACATCTTTTAATGCTTATTAGTGAGGTTTTCTCTTACTTGTAGCCAAAAGCATATATAACTGATACCCATAACAAAACAAATTACTCCAAGACACAGGTAAAGACTCCTACATAACCCTTAAAAAATAGCTATTATCCTGGTAAAAACCCTATCTAGTCTAATTAGAATGAATCACATGTTCAGTATCAACTGACACGCAGAGCCCCACCCACATGTCCGTGAGTTTCAGACAAATACTCACCAGCAGTCTGGGCAGGATTTATTCCTATTCCATCTAGAAAAGAAGTTATAAAATTATCTAAGTGGTTTTATTTCTAAAGCTAAAATGGTTTAATGTAACAAGAGATTTGTCGTTACTATGTATACAGGCACAAGCCAGACAATTTAAATCCAAAAACACGAATAACCAATCTTTCAGTAAGTTACCTGTTGAAATATGTTGAAATAAATATCCGTTATTATTATGCATTTACACATATTGCTGGGCTAGACAAGAACACCTGTCAATGCCATGATCCTGATAAGTTCCATGGAAGACAATGTATTTTACCACACCACACCCAGTGAAAAATAAAGTCAAAAGCACTTTAGGTTATGTCCTTCGTCATTAACATATTGCTCCCAAGGCATAAAATCTCCCCAGGAGAGGCCCCAAAGTCATTTAATTCAAGTTGCAGTGACACCTGATGAAAGTTTACAAAGCACTTCCTAACAGCTAATTTGTAAATCTAAAACTTTCTGGAAAGTAGGTCAGGTAGAGAAATACTGCAATATGACAGCATACAGAATGTTTCAGAATGAGAAATCCTGTCGTATCTAAACTAAAGCGTGCTACCGTGCATTAAACGCATGTTCTCTTAGACTATCCTAACTGCACCTGAACCACTGGCGAGCACCAACAAATACTACCTTGTATTTTTGCAAGATCGTGAAGGCCTTCCCGCAATCTTTACCCTTCATCTTATTTCAGTATCTTCTCACAGGGCTAGTTCCATCACAATCATTACTAGTATTCTAAGATATTCAGAATTTAAACTATAGATCTAATTGAATAAAATCCTCATTATTTCAAGCTTATAAGAAATAGTTTACTACAGGAAAGCAATAAAAAGCTATAGCAAAGGTACATTCCCATTTAACTTCTTATATTCTAAAAGCATCTACAACTTATTAAAAAACTACAACACACCTTGTTAAATAAAGGGAAAAGTTATTTTTAGTAATAATCTGGCATGAAGTGGTAAGGACACAAGATATTGTAAAGTGCTATAAAATACCAGAAGCATAAATAAACTGAAAAGAGCTCATTATGGACAATACCTTGACTTAGTATTTACAATTATGTATATCATTTATGTTAATATTAATTTTGGCCTTTTTAAGTCGATTTTAATTAGTTTGACTTTTTAAAACAATTTCTATAGCTCTGAGGTAATAGTTTTAAAATGATTTCTTACCATTGGTAATAATTGCACTTGTTGCTGCAGGAACTTTAAACTAAAAAGGAGAAAAAGGAAAAAAATTATTTTGTATCTTTGTGAAAGTTTATATAAAAAATATATAAATATTTATATACATAAACTATAAAAGATGGCTAGCAAGGATGGGGTATATACAATCAATTCTATAATCCTAAAATGTGATTTATCTTTTAGGATAAATAATGTCATCAAAGAAAATACTATTAATTGGCTTATATTTAATGAACAGTATTTTTTTCTAAATACTGCATTTCACTGCATGCAGGACACCAGGGATTGGAAAATGCATCTTATTTTATGCATTACAGAAAAAGAAAAACACTGTCAATAAATCTACGATCGATGTTTACTCTTTCAGACTGAGACATGCTACTTTTATCATACGTAACTCTCTTTCATAATCAAAAATAAAAGCAAACCACTTGCTTCGAACATTCCTAAAATTTCTCTGTAGAAGCAGTAAGATCAAACAAATGTTATCTTGTATTTAATGGAAGACCAACCAAAGCTCAAATTCCTTCCTCAAATTCTCCTCTGAATATATTGCTGACTTAGATTTCACAGGTTTGCAACAGTCTAATTATGCCACCAGGAAATAACAAGTAAGTTCAAGTGGGTGCAGATGATGTCAACTAGACAATTATGTGACTGCCACTTGGCTAATAGTGAGAGTAAGACTCCACTGACCTACTTCCAGAGGTGTAAAAAGATTTGTTTTCTGAATCAACAAAATGTGGTATGGAACTTATTGGTAGCTAAAGGGAGAAGTCCTAATTCTCTTGAGACCAGCAGTTGTCAAAATGTGTTCATGTACTCGTAAGTTCATTCATTTATCTAACAAATATTTATTAAGTACTTCTATGCTTATAGACTAGTTTTATAGATATTACAGTTGAGTTTTGTGATCAAATAAATCTGGAAAACACTAAAGTAGTATTCTTTTCAAAATCAGCTAATATGCAGCTAATATAGTTGATTTAATGTCAAGAAGGAAATGGTGAATAAAGTATTTCCCATACTCTTTGGCCACTAATTCTAGTTTTTCATTGTTGTTGTTGTTGTTGTTTTGGTGGTTCTAGTGGCCTTGGAAAAGTATTCTGGGAAATGCTGCTCTGGGTATTTATAATAGCCACATATACATAGTTAAAAACAACTAAAAGTTTAAGTTATAAATTAAAGAATCAAGTTTTAAAATAAAAATTTAACTATGCATGAGAACAATACCTGTTACTGGATTATGCACCTAATAAACACATTAACTTCACAGTCTATATGGTCTATTTTTATTTGTAAATGTCCTTTAAAGATTTAAAAAATTTAAATAAACCTAACTTAAAATAACTTCAAAATGTGCTTTAATATTAAAATACTTCAAAAGTTATTTATAGAGATTGTAATACTTAATAAAACATCTCAGATTTCTAAAATTTGAGATTACAAAGTTTCTAGTTACCCTACTGTCTTATTCTTAGATTATGTCCATTTTAGGATAAGCTATGCATTTTTAGTCACATCCATATAGTGGCAGCATATTTATGAACATTAAAAACCATAAGCAACTGCTGACATAATTACTCCCTTTTCCAGAATGTAGTAGCAACAGTTTAGCAGAAATCTGGGAAGCATCACTAGTGATGTAAAATTTAGCAACTATTATGTTCACCCCACACGACTGACAAGTTTCCTTCTGGATGCAAAGTATTTCATGCTCCTAAATTTTCATTTCTTTTCTTTCTCAGACCCCTAAATCTTGTTAACTTAGAATGTTAAAAGGCTATTCTCAGGTTTTCACAACTTACTACTTAAATTAATTCTTACTCCTATTGGGGAATTTTCTTATTTTTTTATTAAGAGATTTTACTAGGGATTTAAATCCACAGACTCAGTTTGTCAAGTCAACTCTTGTCTTCACTGTAAGATCCTATAATGCCTCATCTTGTGAAAGTCCTTCTCATTGCTGCCTGAAAGTCATAACCTTTCTAAAGGTGTAACACCAGCAATTCATCAACGGTTATAAGCTACATTAAAATCTCAATACATATAAGCAGCTATGTGAAATTTGTAAGATTATTTTCTATTGCATGTCTGTTGTAATTTTTTTATACTTTCACCAGAAGACCAAGATCACAACAATGCCTTTGCCTTACAAAGAACACATATAACTACAAAATATAATAATAAAATATTAATTATAGCTCAAATTGACATACTTCTTAAATTACAATTTGTGGGATCTGCTATGCCCCAGGACCAGGAATAATTCTTGCAGGTGATCTGTGCAGCAGAAAGTAATGCTGATGCTGTACTCAGATTTGTTTCCTTTTTAGTTATTCTATATGGGTGAAAAAGATTAAAACTGACTATAAAACAAGTACTACCACTTCTCAGTTCAATTATGAAGGAGTGATAAATGATGTCAGTGGTCCTGCACAGTATCTGTAACTACTGATGTGTTGGCTGATATTCCATTAATAACTTAAATTCAGGGTAGGATTATGGGTTAAGCCAGTTTATTTAGTTACTAAAATTATTCTTCTGTGACTACAAACTTTTTCGAAGATTCTGAATCAAAACATTTGGATTTGAGTTACTCTAGATTTGTACAGCACTTTTAACTTCACAAAATATCAGTAAATGCAATTATATTTTTACTCAGAATCATTTAATCAGACAGGAAGGATAGATATTAATTACTCCCACTTTACAGGATATGAAATTTGAAGAAAAGAGAAATTGGGAGGTTTGCCCATATCACACAAATAATTAATGACACAATTAAACGTCTCACAAGTCACATTTTATGCCATTTCCACCAGACCAAGCTACTCTTGTAGTGTTATGTCCAAAGAGCTGCTTTATGGATGCATCTGATAACTCCGGATGAAAAAAATCTTATTTCTTAAGAACCAAAAACCCAAAATGCTTTAAAAGACTACACACTTTTAAAAGCAACCAGTTGACATGCTCATACAGAAAAACTTGAGAAATATGATAAAGACATTAAAAAATTCTAATTTGAGAATCAAAATGAGTAAAAACAGGTTTACGGACTACACTGTAAAATAATGTTGCTGTTTAAAAAAATTCCCATATCCTCAAACCTTTTCAATTTCAGTAAAACTTTTCCTTAAAATTTTCAATGGATGCATTAAACAGGGATTTGTTTAACTCACTTTCCCTACTTCTATTAAGTCTTAACTTCCATTCACTTACTTCTGTAAGTAGGGCTTAACTTTTTGATAGCATTAACCTAGTAATGAATCCGCATGGAAGTGGTAGGTCAGAGTACATGCAAAATTTAAGACTTTTTCTTTTTTTTTTTAAGATTTATTTATTTATTTGAGAGAGAGAGAAGAGAGGAGAGGGAGAGAGAAGCAGATCAGGGCTCGATCTCATGATCCTAAGATCAAACCGGAGCTGAAGCCAAGAATCAGACGCTTAACCAACTATGCCACTCAGGCGCCCCGCAAATTTAAAGACTTTTGAAAAAGATACCAGTAAACTGCATTCCATACAGGTTGTTCCAATTTCTACACTTACTTCTTCTGCTGCAAACTTTAAGACTGCTGTGAAAGGTGTACTTTCAGGAACACTAAGTCTGCAAGAAGAATTAAAAAGAATTTTTTAAAAAGCTGATTATTCTTAAAGCCCCTCGTTCCTTATTTTGGCTAATGTGGTAGACCTGGACAAAACTTTTTTGAGGCTGAAGGTTGTCTATTTTGACTGCACACTATGCTCATTAACTTTAAAATGAAAAAAAAAAAAGCAACTAGTTTCCTAATTGAGATGATGCCCACAGCTCCACCTGAAAATTAACCCATATAGGTGAAACCTTATATATTTGTAATACTTGGATACAAAAAGTTCTAGCATATAGGCTGCTGGTTTCCACAAATGGATTTCAAAAAGTCACATTTCTCCTTAGTCATCAGTCCACTTTACCACCTCCAGTCCAAACACCTCTGCACCTGATGCAGGAAGATCATCGCTTTCATTGTAAGAGTCTAGCTTAACCTTCTCATGAACTTTCCAGTGCACTCTTAATAATCAAGTCTGAAATAGATTAAATTGGTGTAAATGAGTATGTTCACTATGACAAAATGTGAAGTGATTTTCTACCTTTATATCATCATTAGAAAAAAGGCTTAATACAATCTGAAATAACATTTTGTAGAGTAATGTGTGATTTTGTTACTAACTTGTACTGTGTTAAGTATATGAAAGATTACCGATAAATGGTCAATCTGTATGAATTTTCCAATTTAAAAACTAAAAATAGAATTGACATTATACCCTAAGAAAACACTTAAAAACAAAGAAGTTAAAAAAAAACACATAAAAAGTTCCTAATGTGAAATAAATAAAAATGACTCAAGACTGTAAAACAGATGATCTTTCAAACCAGGGAAGTGACTGGCAAGCCAACATTTCTCTTTGAAACCTCTCTATTTGTCACCAGAGTATTGTTCCTTAATGTTGTAATAAATTTCCATTATGTGACATCTTAGGTATGTGTCCCACTTCTTCACTTAGTTACAGATCACTGAATATAAAAATCACTAGCTGCCACAACACATTATAATGACTTCCAGTAGGAGATTCTTGGCTGCCACCGTTCTACTTCCCCAAAACACCACTCAAGAGTGAAAGTGGACATTTTTCTCCCCTTTTCTTTCCTTGTTGTTTTGGAGACAACAGAAACAAAACTCTAAAGGATAGCCATTTGTTTAAAAAGCATCTGCTAAAATGGGAATGTGAAGTATACAAAGTAGGGAATTGTACTTGGCAAGTATTTCTGTAGTACATTTACAGTTTGGAAACTGAGATTCAATTTCCTGAAACTGTGCTTCAAAGGGACTCTTAAAACCTTAGGGTTTCAATTCACTTGTGAACTGCAGACAGGAAATGTCCCTGTAATACATACCTAAATGTCATACTGATATTCATTAAAATATGTTTCTACCTGTATTTTAAATTGGTGAGACTGTCCAAAGATAACCCAATAAAATAGTCAAATGAAAACGTATTTCAGTGCATGTTCTAAGTGGCAGAAAAATCAGAGGGACTGGCAGTTAGGCAACTCCACAAATTTTATCTAGATTTGAATTTGTTTTGTTTGCCAGTTGCATCATTTTGCAAATTTGGCGCTTAAACACTACACTGGTGGTTTGAATAAATGGGAATTATTCTGTATATTAAGAGGAATTTTTAAAGTAAATTACTAGTAAATTTTGTCTAATAAATATTACATGTAAACAAATATGACAACACTTGACAAGTGCTATTATAAAGAACTGAGAATGAAGTTTCTATAGGAAACTGAAGAAGGGAGAGATGAACTCCCCCGACAATTACAGAAATCTTTACTGAGGTGACATTCTGATTATTAAAGGGTGTTGTTTGTCCAGAAGTCGTGGTCCCAAGACTACAATCCAAACACAGAAAAGAACATGTGTAAAAGCAGAGAGGACTAAAGGGCTCCCTTGTCAATATGTGAACATTGACTGAAGCTTTGATTAAGTAATTATGGTAGTAAGGAAGGCGAGAGAAGAGGTGGGAATGAGAATGAAAGATAGGAATCAGACTGAAAAAGTCAAAGCTACATTTAATTCATCCCATATATACAAGAGAACATTTGACTGAACATTTCTATAACCTAATGGCAATACCAAGAGCGAATCTATCAAAAAACAAAAAAACAAACAAAAAAAAAACAGTAAAAACTCTGACATCCCCCAGAATAAATAAGGAACTGAAACATCCTTTTTAGAATTCAACTATTAGTAATGCTAGAAACTCAAAGGACATTTTTCTTTTCTTTTTTTTTTTTTAAAGATTTTTTTTTTTATTTATTCATTCATCAGAGACAGAGAGAGAGAGAGGCAGAGGGAGAAGCAGGCTCCCAAGGAGCAGAGAGCCCGATGCGGGACTCGATCCCAGGACCCTGGGACCATGACCTGAGCTGAAGGCAGACGCTTAACCATCTGAGCCACCCAGGCGCCCAAAGGACATTTTTCTATCAAAGCAAATATTTACTGGCTTGGCAAGTGAAAAGTAACATTAAAAAGTCAAAGCATGTTCTCCCATAAATTTTAAAAATTGCATTTAATAGTACCCAAGTACTAGTTACCAATTACTTTGAATAGGATATATAGCATAACTAACCTTACACACACACATACACACACACGTTATACGTATTTTATATACACACACACCCATATACAGATCATACATACACACACCAAACACTAGGTATGCCTATTATATTCACTCAGTCACCAATATTAATTGAACTGGTACAAAATTCCAGGCACTCTTACAGATACTACTGCTGTCCTACTCTGTCCTTTCTCCCACCTTCTCACTTTTTTTCTAGAGAATATTTATACATTGACGAGAATAACCCAGTATAAAGGGAGAAATCAAAGATGATGAGGAGAGAGGAATCTCTGGACTCCATCTACTTTAATCTTGAGAAGACTAAAATAGATGAGATCCAGAGCCCAAGTGGTACAGCTGGTTTTCATAGGAATAAAGTCATGTTTTCCTTTGTAATAGGATGGTGGACAGAAACTATGGGTTTATAGACATAGTAGTAGCTTTATAGACGTGATGATGGAAAGATGAATTTTCCTCTGATGGCTTCGGAAAAAGGGAAAAGCATTGTAAAAAGTATGAATAGATTTTTAAATTCTTTCAGAGAATAAAAAGAAAAATAAGCAAACCTGGGAACGGTAGCAGAGCATTAGGTACTATTGAGCATAGTTGTGAATTTTACATAAAATCCATCAGCCTAATTGTGTAATTTTCTCTAAAGACATTCAGCTATGTACAGAGAACATGGTGGTTGAGCTCAGAGTTGGATGTTTCACCAAGCAAAACATACTGGGGAGAGGAGAACACCAGAGTTGAGGTGAGTGGACACCAGACAGAATGACCAGACCATGGACTCTAGGAGGGTAAGAAAAGGAACCGGGTAAAGCAGGGGGGAGAGGGTAGTGACAGATTTAAAAAGCAGTCTGATCAATGAATTAATTCCTTTTAATTCATTACTCTGAAATATTAGAGTAAATTAGATGTAAGAAGAATATGTGGTCATCCACAAGAGCATACTTGAAAATGACACCTTAGCTGGAGCAGTTACGGAAAAAGACCTTAAGGTTTTAGGCTGTAACCATGTATATTTGAGATAAGGTGAAAAAAAGATTCATCTAGAGATCAAATGATCAAAAAAGCTTAACAGTAGGAGTTGCATGGGAAACAGGTTAAGGGTAGGAGTTGCATGGGTCATAGATAGTTAAGTCACTGAGGCTGACAACTGCTAACAGCTTGGTTAAGTAGGTCTCGATATTAACTATATTAACTATGCTTAAAATCCTATTGAAGTCTTGTCCTTTGCCGCATTTTATGCGACTTCCAGCTGCAATAATGTTTATCTAAAATCAGAGAAAATTCCGGATGAATATGTAGTTGAGGCCGTGCCAATCCATCATTCAACTGCTAAAGGAGAAAAAAAGGCCTCGCGTGGATAAACTGCCCTATTTCTGCATTTCCCATCCCTACTAATCACACTTTATTAAATCCCAACATAATAAGTGTCTGACTTGAAGCTCATTACTTCGTGACGTCCTACTGTTGAGTCACTCACACGGAATCAGAAGACGGACAGTGATAAACGTTCAAGTAATTTCAGAATCTGAACTGGGCTGTCTTCCCCTTCCTGTAACAGCTGGTCAAAGCGGCAAAAGGCCCTTCCAATCAGGAGCAGATAGGGACTTCCTTAAGGACCCCAGCAAATCATTAGAGTCGTCTACACGTCCTCCCGCTCCAACACCCACCCAGGGAGTCCCGTGGACAGGTCACCACGTTCCAGTCACACGCCCTTGCTCCCTCGCGCCGGGGGGAGCTGACACTCAGTGCAACGGGCGCGGGATGTCGCCTCTCAGGCTCGAGGGGGATGGGGGAGGCTCCAGGAAGAGCGAGGGAGGGGAAAAGGGACGGCATGCAGCCTGCTGGGGTGGGAGAGGATCTGGAGGCCAGCCTGGTCCCCCCTAACCCGCAAGCCACACCGCCGCCAGGCTACTCACACTTTGTAAGGCAGCCGCGGGTCCGACGTCAGCGTGATCTTAAAGGAAACCTTCGACCTGAGGAGGAGAGCGGGAGAGAGTTAAAGTCGTGCAGCGGGACCAGGGGTTGGAATCGGGGTCAAAAAACACTTACATGGTGGAGCCGCTCCGGGCGGAGATGCCCGCCAATTCCGCCTGGCCTCCCACTTCCTCTGCCGTGCCCGGGAACGCACCGCCCCACTCAGGTCCACGTCTCCCTCAGCAAACTGGGGACCTCCAAAGTTGCTGTTGTCTAAGGCACTGCCTGAAAATCGGCTCCTGTTGTTCGAGCTAGGCGGAGCCTACAAGTTACAAAGAGCTACTTCTTTTACATTTCAAGCTCTGAGACTAAAGCATGGATCGTATGGAAGAATATTTTTCTAACTGCGATTATGTTCTTCCTTATTTTCAGTCAGGCAATACCAATACGGGTAGAGACGGTAGGACTCTAGGTCGCAGCTGGCAGCCTGGGGCGGAAGTAAGTGCATAGAGTAGGCGGGCGCAGAGTGAGGCGTGGCGAGGGGCGGGAGGTGGGCGGGGCTTGGGGGGCCGGCGTTCCACGAATTTGCTAAGGCAATCGGTTCGCGGAAAATCTGGAGTGTGAGTTCAAGACACTGGAATCTTCGCCCCGCTTTAGTGTTAGTATTCTTCTGTCTTTCCAGCAATGCAATACTGTTATATCTTGTATTTCCAGTTTTTTCCCCTTAACACTAAACACAATACTGACGTCTAACTTCAACAGACAACAGTTACCAAGTTGGTGAGATAGACAAGATCCCTGTGTTAGAGCAACTTGGAGTGTAGATGGAAAGAGCAGTCCACGAACAGGATTCCAAAAGTTTATTGTGTGGCCTAATTGGATTAAACCAGGGAACTAGGGTGCTGATCATCAGCACATTTATTCAATTTAATAACAAACTTTGAATCCTTTCTATGTGGCAGGCAGTAAAAAGCTAAACGCTGGGGATGCTGGAATGAGTAAGATAGGTAGGTGCCAACCCTCTGGGATCTAACAGAAGTTCTAGTATGTGAAGACAGACTGAATGTCCCCTAAATTTATTACAAATCTAATCATCTGTGTTTGCAAGATAAACATCCCTCTCACAATGTCTGTAATGCCTTTTCTAAGAAATATTGCAATGAATGACAAAATCGGAAACAGGTAAGTACTAAAATAATGAGGAGATCTAGCTAATTTTTCAGATATTATGTTAGATTTTTTTAAGGAGAGATAGCTAAGAGGAATAGGGAAGCAACTGCAGTAGGAATGTTAAAGACCAATTTCTGTAATTTTGTATCAGAGTGCTCTTCTGTGGTCACAGCTCCCCAGGGAGAGAGTGCTGACTCTGCCTTAGAAAAGAAAGGCTTTGATATTCTCATGACACTCATGTGTGTTCTTCACTTAGAAAAATGCAGAAAATGCAGAAAGCTGGAGGCAAATGTTGATTGATAGATTTGGGGATTGACAGGTATAGCATTAATAGCTGAAACTATGGGATTAGTTGGTATGACTATGATTTTTGAGAACAGCAGTAAGAAGAAAACTACTGATTGTGTCTACCTGGTGTCAGCCAAGCAATGAAGAGACTCTAGTGCATACTTACAGTCTTTATTTCTAAAAATACATATGTATTTTTAAACAATATTTGCATCTTTTTTATTTATAGTTTTATTTCTGCTCGTGTATAAAAACATGTTGTAAAATCCTGAAGAGAAAAAGTATTTTGTTTATAGAGTTTTTATTATATTTATAAAAAGTAATGAAGACAAGATTCAACCCCAGGCAGTGTGACTTCAGTACTCACATTCCATTACCTCTTTAGAAAACATATTAATATAATATATTATATCAAAAGGACAAGGGGAAAATATTGTGTTCAAAAGATATTGAAAAGAACTTAATCCTAAATCTTTAGAATTCTTTCCCACCTCAATACCCTAACCTTCGTACCCGTATATTTGTATCCTCAGAGTCACAGCATAATTTCTAGAGCCTTCTGAGTTTTATTTTCTTGATACAAGAAAAGAATTGATAAATAGATTCATTTATACTTAATATTATTTGTTCTTTTAAACTTTGCTAGGGCATCCAGCAAAATTTGGCAAGTATATCAGAAAAAGAACCTTATTTACTGAAACGTTAAAGTGCTGAAGTACATTTAATGACTGTAAACGAAAGCGAACTCTGGATTTATGAGGTAATTGGCAAATGCAACATTTTAAGGCAAGGAACAGCATAAATGGCCTAATGTGTTTTGGAAGGGATCCAATTAGTATCATGTAGGGGCAGAAATGATTATAGAGTGCACAGTATGACCATATTAGAACCCATTAAATATAAATGAAACACCAATGTTCTGTTTGCAAAAGCATACAAATTTCTCATTATTAGAAAGGAATTGGAGGGAAATTAAATTTGTATAAGAACTAAAAAGATTTGCTTATGTAGTCATAAAAATCCTTCTTACTAGTATATCTGTAACCAGCTTTAAATAAGATAGAAAACGTCAGATTTGGAAGCGGAAAAAAAAAAAAATTGTCTTCCTAAGTTTTTCACCCTAATTTGACTATATTTATGATTATGACTAAAATCACCTGATACTCTAGTTATGTAATCCTGAAAGATTTTCACTGGGATAAATCTTAGGATCTTTTACTCCAAACATTTCATATTACAGGAAAAAAATTGTAGTTTGGCCAATTGATAATGAATGGATATTTTTATTGCAGTTTAATTTGGTCATTTTTTAAAATTATCTTTACTCTTCCTACAATCCTCTATGGGACATTAATATCATTGGGGCCATGATAATAATAATGGCTCAAAATGTATTAAGATTTACTTTGTGCTAAGTATTATCTTTAACATTTAGTACAAGGGGAATCACAAAATACAGATTTTAAACTATGATTGCCTTTAAGTTATATATCAATGAAAAGAAACCTTAAATGGGAGAGTTGATCTGGTAGACAAAAGTACTTGGGAATATGTAAATGTTGTGTTGATCCTAAGATAAGGAGTATAAGTTTACATCCCTGAGAGCCAAAGAACGATGAAATATAGGTGAGATTAGAGCCTAGTAAAGCCTTAGAGGAGATCACAGTTCTAAATGTGCTGCACTTGATTATTATTTTATTTATTTATTTTTCTGATTGAGAGAGAGAGAGCCAGAGAGCTGGGGTGGGGGGAAGGAGGAGGGAGAGAATTCCAAGCAGACCCCACCTAGAGCTTGGACCCCATACAGGGCGCTTATCTCACCACCCTGAGATCATGACCTGAGCCAAAACCAAGAGTCGGATGCTTAATTGAATGAGCCACCCAGGAACCTCTGCCCTTGATTATTATGATTCCATACCCTTCCCAAATATTTCCTGAAATTAAATGAGAAAAAAAGGGCTTTTCTTAGGAAGGTCATTGTTTGACTATAAGCCTTGTAAATGTGAGATATAATCACAAGACTTGGAATATTTTAACTACAGAATTTGTAAAATACTTTCATTGTGAGAAAACATTTTAAATTGTAAAAACAAAACAAAATGGGAATTTACCAGTCTTGTATAATTAAATTTTCTCTCTAAATATCATGTGAATTATTTGTTTAATGGGAACATTACTTGTTAGAAAAATTAAAATAATCTCTGACAGGTCTATTCCAAACACAGGATTATGGTTTGTTCTACTCATTTTTATTCTTCCAACAGCTCTGAGGTTAATACTATTAATATTCCACTATTAGAAGAAGAAAGTAGCACACAACTATTAAAAGACTTATCCTAAGTTTAAATAAGTGGTTGAAATGAGATCAAACTCAGATATCTGATATTAAAACCGGGTTTTATTTACTACAGGAGTTTAAGGATCTAAGCTGTATCCTTAGCTAGTACAAAACAATACTTTGGGGTAGCAAATATTGTTATCCCTCTTTCACAGATAAGGAAGTTAAGAGAAACTAATTTTTTCAAGGTCACAAAACTAGTAAAGTGCCAGAGCTGGTATTGGAATCCTGGCAGGTTGGATTCAGAGCCTACACTCCTCAACGTGATATACCATGAATCTATGATCACTTATTTATAAATATTACTCTTACATCATAGATACTCTGTTTTTCCCACTTCAGTCTCAAAGTCAGTTAGATTTCTTATCCTGTGCGAGATATAATAATAGTTATTCCTCTCATATAATTGTAGAATCTTTTTATATTATGTTGAAAAGGAATTCAAAAGGAACTCAGGAGAGACAGTACCATTTCGAGAAGAAACCAGAAACAGAAGAGTACACACTGAATGAGACCATTTATATATATGGTTCAACATCAACAAAATTAATCTATGGTGTTAGAAGTGAGAATGGAGGTTGCTTTTGTGGGGGCACAGTGACGGAAGTATAAAAGGAGCTTCATGGATGCTGATAACATGTTTCCTGACCTGGGTGTTGATTATACTGCTGTATTAACTCTCTGAAAATTCATCAAGTTGATATACTTAGGGTCTGTGTATTTTGTGTGTATTCTATTCCAATAAAAGTTTATCTTTAAAGATTCTAAAGACTAAAAGATAAACACGGTTACAAAAAAAATGACTGGGAGTGATACTGGAATTTTAGTGGGCAGGTTGTCAGGGGATAACTGCAAAGAGTGGGAAAGGGTAAAAATCGTGCATTTTCAAGGTATGCAAGTACAATGGAAATCAAGAAGAAATTTACTTTTTATTTTTTCCTGGTACTTTTCAAGACTTAAGCTTTTTGAAAAATCATGTAATCAACTGCTACACTTTTCATGACATTTGAATTTCCAATCAATACAGCAGTATCAAGGTATATTTGTGGCTATTTTATTCATTGGTACAAGTATTAGCCAGTTCACTATAACAGCTTCATTTCACTTCACTGTATAGATTTTATGTGAAACCTATATTAAAGTACATGCCAAATTATTATAATTTACTTTTATTTCTCTTATATATTACAGTTAGGACATGATACAGATTTTTTAAAACTATGTGTGTAGGTAGTTTGTATTATCCAGGAAACTATATTCAGGATTAAAAAGGGAGCATTAAAATATTTGCAATAAGAAAAGGGGCATTGGGAAGCACTGGTTTATAATGGATACTAACTTCTCACAGCCCGATCTCTGGTGTACTAAAAATATAATTCCTTTTTTCTTTCTCTCTGTCTCTCTGTTTCAAGCCAATTTCTACCTACTGGCACTAAGTTAACCTGATTTTTCTTGGCCAAATCAAAGTTTTCTTAGTCAAGTTGGGATTTCTAGATCCAATATGGTTCCACTACAGTTCTTCTTGTATGTAGAATACAGGCTTTCGGGCGCCTGGGTGGCTCAGTTGGTTAAGCGACTACCTTCGGCTCAGGTCATGATCCTGGAGTCCCTGGATCGAGTCCTGCATCGGGCTCCTTGCTCAGCAGGGG